CCATGGGATGGCCACCTGCTCCTGCTCAGCATCTGAATATTTCAAACAGCTCACTCACCCCCACCTCCTCTCCCTGCCACCCTGCTCACCCCTCTCTCCCAGCCCCTGCTTGTGCTCCTCACTTGTTTTCAGCAGTGTGGCTCCACCAGGCCTGTTCCCAACTCACTCTGATGCAAGTGTGGAGAGACACAAGCCCTAATTCAATCTGGCAGCTGGGAGGTTTAACTCTCCTGAGAGCAGAGCCGAGCTTGCATGAGTGATACCCAGCCTCTCGGAGCACTGCTAGGAGACAAGGACCGGGCTAGTGGGGGTGCAAAGCTGCGGTGAGGGGCTGAGGTTACGCAGAGAGCAACTCAAGCAGAACCAACTCAAAAATGAAAGTTAACCCATCCTCCCTTCTACCAGCCATCAGGTCCAGTGCAGCAATGCTGAAGCCCAGGAGCAGCACTGGCAGCATCAGTCCTGTGCTCTCTGGCAAGGTGAGCTGAGGGATGCTTGGGTGGGTTGAGGTTTTTTTTTTGTCTTGGGTAGTCTCTGACAGATGAACTGTACTTAGAGAGTCATGAATAAGTGATAGCCCGGCAATGGAGCACTGTCTTCCACAGCTATTCCATGGGGAGGGAGGAGCATTCTTCATTAGAGTGATGTGGCCAGACAGAGGTTATCAGAGCCACCCTCTGAAGTGAGTCTGTCTCATCACTGGCTATAAAGAGAGCCCCAGGTGACAAGATTTCTCACCTATTTCACCATCTATTTAAGCATGGTTTTATTATCAGTTCTCCAAGACCATCTGCCACTCCCTCCCCATTCATAACCACATCTGCCATCTCCTTTGGGAGAGCTCTGAGCACACGCACACATAAATACATAGAAAGGCCTATCAGCCATGCATTTGCCCGTATGCAAGCAGAGAGCATTGCTGCAGCAGCTACCAGGCTGACAGGAATTACACAAGAGGGATATAATTTAGAATGAAGTTTTGTTAAAATATCTAGGGGTTTTGTTCATTCACTTTGTAAGGTCGAGGATTTTTAGTGCACCTTTATACCAATCACTTTCTGTTTGTGGAAGTGAATGCCATGGCCGAGAGTGGAGTGAGTTAGGTGTGATCCCCATTCAAGGGATTAACTAATCCTCTTGTCCAACTTCCTACACATCATACACACAGTGAATGACAGAAGGAGGTAGAAACTTCCCTGTTCACTGGGACTCTGAGCAACAGTGGGAATCTTCTCAGGAAGGGCGTCAGCTGGGCAACTTGCTGACCACCTACCACATGTGGACAAACCTGATCTGCTCCGGGTTGCGTCACCACAATGGCATGATGGCTCCCATACATTCCAGGAGTGCACCATGGAAGTATGAGAGGCATCCAACACAGACTGCAAGGAGAAAAATTCTGCCTGGAAATAATCCCATATTAAAAAAGCAATGCCCAGAGCAGCATCCCCAGAGCGATTCAAAGTGACTCTGTGACTTCAGCCAGACTTACCAGGAGAGGGCAGCCAGTGCTTTCTGGGCTGACTACCCCAGAAAATAGGTACCCGAGGAGGACCTGCTTTGCACTGCTCTGTTGGAAACCTTGGTCTTGCTTCTGGGCATAGAATCTTGAAAAGTCATATTCCTCCTTTCCTTTATTGAGGCAGAAAGTGAAGCGACCCAGTTTGGTGCACTACAGAACTGATTTGCTGTCAGATATGTGAAACCACAGTCAGAGCAGAAAGTTTGTTGTCTTTCCTGCAACTTTCATCACTCTTCCTGGGCTTCTGCTTCCCTTGAATGCCCAGCGCACAGGCTGAGCTCCCTGAGCTGGAGCTCCAGACAGAGGTCCAGGTTGTTGCTTGGGGTGCCCAGCAATATCTCTGGTGGGGAGAATGCAGAAGGAGCTTCCTCAAATGGGGATCTAGCACCTTTCTTATGAACTCAGCATTTCTGATTCTGGGGATGAGAGAAAAGGGCTGCTGCATCCCCAGGGAATGGGGCAGCTCAGTGCTCATGTGGGCTGAAAGCTGTGCAGTGGACAGTCCGCATGGGGGGAAGGTGGCACCAGTCACATTGCCTGGTGTGAATTATTGTGGCAGTAACTGCTTATCACAATTTCAGGTAACCCATGTTGCTTACAAATGACAGGACCACAGCTGGTAATTAAAGGAGCATTATATTTTCTCAGACCAGACACAGACTGGGTATAATTGGCCTTTCTCCATCTCTCTCAGCTGCATTTCACTTATTTTACCCAGTTAACAGCTCAAAGAACAGAGACGATGCTGGTGCCAGGCATAGAGCTGTGCTTGGGGACAGGACATTATCAGGGACAATATCCAGGGGTCTGGGTAGCCTAGGGATTCCTTCTCATGTCCATGCTCTGACCTGATGCTCCTCGCAGCGCAGTGTGGTGAGAAAGCGCTGCTGCCTTGAACAGCGTGTGCTGGCACTGACCTCTAGTGGGAATAGATCCCTTCCTCTTTAGATTTTCCCTGCAGTTTTAACCATTTTAAGTGACACATATTAAAGGGGACTGGAGAGACCCAAGAATCAGAGCTTCATTTTTTAAAACCTTCAAAACTAAATCAGAATATCAAGATTTGCCTCATACTATATTTAATAATTTTTAATCCCTCTACCATTGCCTTCAATACATTATATATAGATATTTATGCATATATGTATCTCTCTGTATTTAAAGCCTCTGAAAATAATGGAAGTCCAAAACTTGCACAGCCAGGCAGAAAAGTTCTTTGTTAGGAAGACAGCATGAAAGGGAGCCCAACCCTCGCAGAATGAGTAACAGAAGGCAAATAATGGGGCAAAGTGGCCAAGTTCCTCTTTCAGACCTTCCAGTAAAATTGTCTGAAAGGTTAACAGAAGCACACCCAGTCAGAAGAGGGGTGGCAGGAGATGGTGCCTGAGCTGGGTGTTAGTGGGTGCAGCGGAAAGGTCAGAGCAGAGAGTGGCTGGCCACGGATGCCTGCGGGGGCATTGCTGATGTCAGTGGGGCACGCTTGGTCTCCCCGCTCCGCTGCAGCAGACCACGGCAACACAGCCCTGCCACAGCACTAGCCAGCTAAAAGAGTTCCAGGCTCACCTTAAGGAAGGTGAGCCCTGGCAAAATCACAAACTGCAGATAAATCCCCATCAGCAGCAGAGGAAGGTCACTTCCAGGGGCTACTTGCTAGCCAGAGGTGTAGACAGCTTGCAGTGGACTGGAGTGTACAGTCACTGGTGGTGGGTCTTGAATTGCCCTTTTGCTAGAGCTGGTCCAGTGCTTACTACTCCAGGTTCTGTGCTCTGGCTGAACTGTTCCTGGATGTGTGCTAGTCCTGGAATCAGGATCCACTCCTATTTCCCAACTGGAACAGCACATCGCAATATAATCAAGGTGTGACTGACGCTTGATGCAAAGATAAGCTGCAACTAGTTCACAGAAAAATTAAATCTTTGTGTATCACCACACAAGTTTGAGTTGATCTGACCACTTTATCCACAGGAAAGTGTAAAAGAAACCATTCCACGATGGAGCTGCATCTAGTATGTTACTAAAGAAAATGGTAAAGGCATTTAGGAAGGCAATTGGTGGATAACCTAGAAGTAGCTGGGTATGGAAAGCTGAAAAAATAGAAATTCTGTGGGCAGATCAGGAACAACAGCTACACGTGGAGCTGGGATGAAGCCACCACCAGGGTGTGAGAGGGAGTGACATGGATATATGGCCCAGATCCCCATACTGCACTGGATAGAGCTGACTGACGTGGGAGAAGCTCCTTTCCCTCAGTAATTGTAATCTTGCAGTGACACAGTGCCAGAGACACAACTGGAGACACTGAAACAGATCCTGAGCATGGGAAGAAAACTTGTGACTGGAAGTCATTGACCTTGAAAGAGACTTATCTGTCTCCCTGCTGCTGCCCTCACACCCCAAAACCTTTCTTCCTACAAACCCAAAGCAACAGCTGCAATGTGGGATAGAGAAATATTTGTCACTCTGCATGTGGTTTGTGTGAGTCCATCCAGTATCCATCACCAAGCTCTTCCCGGGTAAGCTTCCTTGCAGGAGATTGTTCCCCTCCTGCTCAGATGAACTGGAAGAATGGGCATCCTGCAGAGACAGAAAGTCATCTCAAGCAATAAAAGCAAAAAGTGAAACTGATTTTAAAGTGTCATCTCTGTTCAGAGCTATCTAGTTTGTCTTTTGAGGAAAGACCACTACTTGGGACATTGGAAAGTAATTACGTGACATCTATGCAGATCCATAGGAGTTTTGGCATTGGGAAGAGAGCACTGAAATGCAGTCTGGGCAATCATTCACAGGCAGTGAGCTGGGCCTTCATCTGACCTTCTATTTTCAGCTTTGATCTCTATGTCTTATTGCTCTTTTGTGAGCCCTGCTAGCCACTCTGGGCTTTGAAAGGATTTCTATTTGCAATACAGAAATGTGGTGAGAAGCAGCTGGACCAAGGGGCTTGTGCAGCCAGCTACAGTGACCTCCTGGGTTCCCCGTAAAGGCAGAACAGATGAGCAGGTGTCTCAGTGGGTGGAACAGTTTAATGTATGCACATGGGAAAAGCAAACGCCTTGTTTGCACCTCTGCTACAAGTGACATCCACCATGTTGTTTCCCACGGCGCCTGTGGCTTCACTCAGCACCTGCACACGCAGCAGCATCCTCACCCACACACCGCCCGGTTGGACAAGGTCCCGCTCCCTCCCCGGGCAGAGCTGCCTGCTATTTAAAGAACCCAAACCAACCGGGCAGAAGGGAGGCAGGCCCAGGACGGACCGGCGTGCACTGCCCGGCCTAGGGAAGCGCCCCGCTGCCACCTCCCCGCCCACGCCGCCGTGGCCACCGTCTTTCCTCCCCCTCGGTGCCTGTGCGCTCCCGCAGCCGAAGCGGGCTTAGAGGAGCGGCCCCTCGCCGTGCCGTGCCGGGGCGGGGCGGCCGCGGGGGAATCCCGGCCGGGCGGGCCGGGCGCGGCTGACTCAGTGGGGCCGGGGCCGCGGCGGGAGGCGGCGGAGGCGGGGCCGCGGCGCCTTAGACCCCGCGCCGGCCGCCGCTCGCTGGCTTTCGGGCCATGAGCCCCCCGGCAGCGGGGCCGGGAGCGGGACCCGGGCCGGGGCCGGCGGACGGCGGGCGCTGAGCCATGTCGCGGGCGGCGGGCGGCGAGTGCCGCAAGGAAGCGGCGGGCTGGGAAGGCGAGGACGGGCAGTGCGACTCGGGCATCGAGTCGCTGCGCTCGCTGCCGGGCGGCAGGGAGACCCCCGCCGCGCCCGAGGGCCCCCCTGCCGCCCCCGAGGAGACCCTCGCCGAGGCCGCCGCCGCCGAGGAGCGGCTGGATTCCAGCTACGGCTCCGGCGCCCTGCCCGAGGCTCTGCCCGGGCTGCCGGGGGCTCCGGGGGGCCGCCCCGAGGAGCCGCCGCCCCGGCCGGAGGGGCTCAGCCGGCAGCAGCTGGATGCCCTCACCTACCTTTCGGAGGACGGAGACACGTGAGTGACCCCCGGGAGCTGTGAGCGATTGCCCCCCAGCCCCGGGCTGCTCCCCTCGCAGCGGCGGGGAGCCGGTGCCTTGAGATAAGCCAGGCTGTGTTTGCCGCGGTCTCCAGCCCTCTCCCGAGGAGCATCGGCTCGGCCGTGTTGTTAAGGTCGCCCCAGGCCCCTGTCCTAAGAGCCTCCCGCCTTGCCTTGGTGTGCGTGGGTGCTTGGCATCCAGGTTTGGGTGGATGACCCCCCTCACCTGCCTGAGAGGTATCTGAGGTATCGGCGGGATGAGCAGGGAAGAGAGGCACCCCAGCTACATGGCACAGAATGGACCCACCACAGGAAGCCCGCTTCCACTTGCCATGGGGCTGCTAGCAACTAGAAGAAAGGGGAGAGCAAATCAAGCCTCCCCCACTGTCCCTTCCCCAGAGAATGCAACGTTTCCTCCATAATGGGGAAGGCTTGGCTGCGTGAGAGGGCATGTAAGCAAGTCCTGAAACAAGATTAGCCGTGCAGGGCAAGACCTTGCGATGGCTGTGTTAGACACTGCTCAGCCGAGCAACTCAAGAACTATTTGTTCTCAGGTGGGAATCGCCCTGCTTTGCCAACTTGCCCGCAGAGCTACGGCTTTTGGCAGAGTTGTGACGCACACCGTGATGTGGGGCTGCCCTCCTGAGCTTCTGTGACAGAGACAAGTGTTTCTCTTAGTGAGGGGGGCTTCCCACATCCGTAATGCCTCTCAAGGGCAGAGGCATCACACCAGAGTTATTTGGTTTGGCTTCTGGTAATTACCTTCAGCTAATCACAGCATTTTTTCCTGTTGTACATTCCCTCGATGGAAGGTTTTCATCATGAGTGTACACAGAAAGTGTGAGCGAAGTGTTCTCACAGCTGAGGGCGAAGCTTTGCCCCAAAACCAGGCTAGAGTTTAATACTGAGTAATGGTGCAAGAGGAAGAGAAACTTAGAGGCACTGACATGATCAAGCAAATGTCTTCAGTAGCAAGAGCAGCAAGAAAGCTCTGTCGTTGCCTGGCAGAGCACATCGGGATTGAAGCTGAAGATGAGCTGGGAGGCAGCCTGAGTGTTTACTTCCCTGTCAGGAAGGAATTTGTGCATCTGCTAATTAGTTCATTAATGCTGACTCTGGAATCTGTTCTGAGGATTGGCTGCAAGTCTCACGGCAAGCAAAGTTACACTAAACCCAGCCTCCCACACTCCCCAGACAGGCTTTCTCGTCCTGTCCTATCTACAGCCTGGTTCTGTGGCTCCTCAGAATGAAGGAGCTTTGCCAGTTTTCCCAGCTGTAACGCTAGAGCCAAGGTGCCCATGGAGCGAGCCAGATGTCTTTTAATCAGAGGTGTGGAAGACAAACCTTCCCCCCAGGTTTGTCTGTCATGGTGTGCCCAGGGCTCCTTGCTTACTGTTTTATTAGTGAGCCCCGTAGATGCAGCTGCTTGGAGATGCTTTTAGTGCTTGAGGCTGTCTTGTTTGGTGCTTGAAGCCCTTTGCCTGTCAGACTTGCTTGGAGAGACCTAATGTAAACATCTTATTAACTAGGAAAACATTAATCAGTGGTGCCTTGCTTACTGTAGGCAGGAAAGGCTCTCAGAGGTTGCCTTTGCTCTTCTGTTTTCTCTCACTCACAGTGCATTTCAGAACAGGAAATCTGTAAAGAGAGAGGGAGGGAGCTGTAGGTCTGCTGGTTGTACAGCTCTGGGCTCACCATGTCCACACAGGACACAGGCTTTCCTGGGATCTACTCCCACTGCTGGGAATAAAAACTATTCTTGTGGTTAGAGTGGTGAGGCTGTGGATTTGTGCCTCCGCTATTCTTGTCTCTCCTCCTGACCCTGCGGCAGAGGTAGGTGGCATTTATATTTAGAAGTGCTGAACATCCACCACTCAGGTCGGTGCAGATGGGGACTGTGAGCACCCAGGAACTCACTGAACTGCCACATACACTGTTTGTATGTGGAAATAAGTCAGGGCTGATAGTAATGCTAAAGTCCATGGTGCAATTGCTCATCCAGTGACAGAAGATCCCCAGAGAGAAGGGATGAGATGGTCACAGGCTACATCGCTTTCATCTGGCCAGACAAACCCATCTTCGTTTCTTCCTTTCATCTCTGTCAGCAGCTTATTTCCCTGTGTGCCTTTTTTAAATGTCTGCCACAAAACAGCTCCAGGCAGAGACTTAAAATCGTACTATCATTATATTTCAGAAGACTTGGGCAACTACACTTTCCTGTAGTTGTAATTTTGAAAATACAAAAAGTTCAGGGGTTTTGCCTAAATAGTTCCTGTTTCCCCAGATGCCCTGGCCAGTACTGAGCTGAGAGGAGCACTGGGCTTGCACAAAGGAGCTGGCAAAAGTCTTGGCTCTACATCTGACAAAAGTCTTCTCTGTCCATAGCTCCCTCAGGCTCACCCACCTGTGCCATCTCAAGGTGTGCCTGTGTTTGTCAGCCTGGCACTTGTGGGGTAAAACCAGGAGGTGGAGGCAGAGGTGAAGAGCACATGCTTGGGCGGTTGGAGTGTCAGCAGGATCCTTCTTGGATACCTCCCTGCCTGCCTCCGCAGGAGAGGAGCATCAGAGCAGGCAGGATGAAGCAATGGGGCTAAAACTGTCTCTCCCTGTGCCCAAAGTTAGAAGGAGTCTCACTTTGGCAGGAAGGAAATTGGCTAACAGGAAGGACGGGGGTATAATGGCCAGTGAAATGCGTGGGTGCTGTCTTCCAAGAATTATTTGCCCAAATGTCATCCTCTCCATGGCTCCCTAGTGCCACTGGCAGCCCCTCTGCCTTAGGGAAGTCAGAGCCACAGTAATAAGGCACATTAGTTCCCAGGAGAGTGTGGCTCAGCTGTGAGGGCAGGAGAAGTCAAGCACGAGGAGTGGGGTGGCAAGTGGAAGATGGTGGGTGAACTTTGGGCAGTGATCTGTATCCTGCTTTATCGTGTGAGCAGGTAGAGAACAAACCCTGTGCACTCAAGCTCACATGGTCTCCAGGCATCCATCTTTTCCTTGTGACCTACAACTCCAAATATCTGTCTCTTCCATGAAAACAAACTCCTTTTCTGCTGACTTGGGTCCTGATGGGACTGCTCTGTGTGGAAGTGAAGAGAGGGGCTTTCCAGCTGTGGGCCTGGCTGCCTCTGAGCAGACTGCAGGCAGATTTTTTGTTGTGCCCAGCCTCCAGACCACCTCAGCCTTTGTGAGGATTCACTGAGGAAACCCCATCCTTCCCAGCCTCACCTGGCAGTTGCACAATTCCAACATCCTGGGAAAAGGATGAGTGTAGGACCAGCTCCTTGGAGGTGAAATGGGATGTGATCACCTGGTTTTGTTCCAGCACAAGAGAAAACCTCCCCATTTCCTTGTGCTCAGCCTCTGCCAGCTCTGGAGAGGCAGAGTTGATTCATGAGTGTGTGAAATTAAGCACAGTTTCCTCTCTCTGGGATGGTATAGGCTATCTTAAACTTGAAAACATGTTTTCCTTCCTGCCCATGCTGGTCCTTGGGCCACACACGATTTTCTGCCATTGTACCTGATGTCGTGGTGATGGAAAGGCTGGGAGCTGTGCCTCTGCAGGAGAGTGACTGTCTTCTGCATAGGCTCTGTATGCAAAGCAGTGCAGTGCTTCTGCAGGGGTGAAGGTCGAGGGACCCCACCTCAATCATGGAAGGAAGACCTAGGCCTCCTTCAGATGGAAAATGGGACTGTGTGGTTTTGGTTGGGTGTATGTTTCAGGGAGGGAGGGGAGCAGAGGAAGCCTGACTTCCTCCTTCCACCAGAGACCAGTGGTGCCCCATCTGCTGATAAGAAATCACGTGCCAGTGACTCGTGGGCTGAAATGCCTTAACAAGGGCTTGGGGACAGTTAATCGAGTAAAATCAGGGCCCCATGAGAGCTGACGTTCTGAACTCTTCACATGATGATAGTGAAGGGGCCTCCCTTGCCTGCCTGGGTTGTTACTGAGCATGAGGCTCGTCTTCAAGGGGACAAGAGCCACTTCTAACCATTGACTGGCATGTGCCAATCATAACCCTCTTGAGTCATGTGGTCTTGGGCTGGAGATCTTCCCTGAGCAGGGAAACAGAGGTTGTCCCCATTCAGGTTGTCTGCTTCAGTTTGGCTGCTTTCTCACTGCTTGCCCTGCTGTGAGTACTCTGTGCACCTGGGGGAGTGCTCAGAGTGTAACAGCAAAGATAAAAGGAAGGGAAGGAAGGAAGGAAAAAGAAACAAGGACTGGAAATACTCAGTTTTAGGAGAAGGATTAAAGAAGTCAGATGCAGAGAGCACACCTTGTTGCTGGTGAGGCTGAGAGTCCCCCTGCTTTGCTGGGCTGAGCTGTTGCCAGCTGCCCAGCAGTGGGATGGCCATAGTTAATGGAAAGTGGAGATGCTCTTGGTTTTCCCAGAGGGTCTTAAGAACCCTTGCTTGATTGCCAGGATTCAAGTCCATTCTGAGTTATTCCCTGGCATGTTGCCAATTGTGGGGCGTTAGAGAAAGTGAGTCCTAGCATGGGTCTGCCAGGAGGGAGATTTTCCTGTGTCCAGCTCCCTGTCCCTGAACTCTCAGCTCTCCCTCTGTGTGTGCTTAGGAGTTTGGTAGACAGGAGAGCTTGGTGTCCCTCTAAGCAAGGCCAGGCAGCTCTGCACAAGTTGCTTTGGAACGCCCCAGAAGTTTCTGGCTGCTGCAGGGGTCACACATGTACAGCCTTGGCATAAAGTGGGTAAGTCCTGGCAGCCTTCTGAGATCGTGCATGCAAGAGGTTTTTTTCCCTGCTTGGATGACTTCAGCCTGGCCTGGAGGAAGTTTCTTCAAACTTTCCACCTGCCTAGGTTTGCCTCGGAGCTGGGGACAAACACAGGGAACTTCAGCACAGAGGAGGGGAAAGAATGGCTGGAAATTTCCGTGTCCGGGGATGCAGAAGCCTGGCTGTAACAGATGAGCCAAGGTGCAGAGGGCTTCAGGTCTTTGCACTCTGCAGGCAGGCTTGACTGCTG